CAACCTAATAGCAATGGCCTCCAACCTATAGCAATGGCCTCCAACCTTATAGGGATGGCCTCCAACCTAATTAATATCCATTGCCTCCAACCTAATAGCGATGGCCTCCAACTTAATAGCGATGGTCTCCAACCTAATAGCACTGGCCTCCAACCCAGAAGCGACGGCCTCCAACCCAGTAGCCATGGCCTCCAACCTAATAGCAGTGTATGACACTTAATCTAGGTAACTCTTAATACCATAGGTTCCTTTTTTAATATAGATAGAGAGAGAGAGAGTATTTTGTTTTATATAGATAGAGAGAGAGACAGCTTTTTGGATCTTTCAGAACTCATGATTGTTTTTAGGACCACTGGCCCCATAATGAGCAGTCTTTAGTTGTTTGGCGTTGGGACAAAGCAAACAACATCCTTTGTATCGAAAGGCCGAAAACGCTCGAGCCGTCCCGCCGTGCCGATGTCTACGCTCCAATTCCCATGTCTCCTCCCAGAGGTTTTTCGTGACCTTTAAAGGGTACCTATATAGGATAGTCTAGTTCGGGTTCTGACCCACCTGCTGGTCCGGTTTCCTCGGATTCCTCGTCCCTCGTCCCCGACCGGTCAGGTTCCCCAACATCGGCTTGTCCATGGGCCCGGTGGCGCGAGTCATCGAAGTCCTCAAGAGGCGAGGCCAAGCAAGGAAGCGGAGCGAGGAAGCGGTCCGGACACGGTCCGGAGCGATGGTCGGTTGGTGTTCATGGAGGTGTTTTTGCATGGTGAGTCATTTGGTTGGTGAGGTGGCATAGAACTCTAACTGAACTAACTGATGTCAGAAAGACTGCATAGAAGAAACTCCCCCCTGAGTCAGACTGGATTTCAGACACCTACCTCTTGATACGGGGGCCTGATGTGCTTTCTGAATCAAACGTCAGAGTCTCATGGTACCTTGGAACATGGGTACCTCGCTCATGTCGTGATGGTCGACCAGTGGGTCGACCGGTGGGGTGATTGTTGACCGGTCGCTTCCAGGTTGCAGGCCAGCGCTATTAGGTTGCAGGCCATCGCAATTAGGTTGTAGGCCATCGCTATTGGGTTGCAGGCCATCGCTATTATAGGTTGCAGGCCATCGCTTCTAGTTTTGGAAAACGACAGGAACAACAAGATCGTCTTAGAAGAGGACGTCAACGACCAAGGTGCCCCGATCTGCAGAACAGGTTGATCCGGTCGCAATACACGGGGCGCACGGACGGTGCACGCGTCGGGCGGGTACTCGACATATTATCCCTGGAAGTCAAAGACCATTTAAAAAATGGTTGATCTGGTTTTGTAGTGTAAAACCCTTAGTAAAACAATGGTGGTTCGGTAAAGGCTATTAAAACAATGGTGGTTCGACTTCTAGGCTATTGTCAGTAAATCCTCAATTAATTTAATCTTCCAATCGGGTATAGTTGAATGCTATATGTTCAATTTCCCTTGGACTGGCTTACGGACTTGCTGTTGGAAACGAGAAACCGCAGAAGGCGGTTCCAACCAAAGAAGATCGAGGCTTATGTGTCAAAACCAAAAAACAACACCTTTGATGCAAGGAAACATGTTTTGCGGGCAACACCCTTGTCTTGGAAAGAGCGGTTAAGACATCCGGAATTTGTATGAACTTTTGGCATGTGGCTAAACCTTTGGTGTGCAAGAACCTTGAAACTCAACAGCTGCACCTCTTCTGAGGCTTGTTTTTACTGTGATCCCTCTTTAACGGCCTTTTCGGCTTTCGTTTGAGGCCAGGAGGAGCGGTCGAAAGCGAAATTCCAACCATAACTTCTTCAATCAAACAAGGACTTCTACAACTCCCAAAGAGCTCCATCCCAATTGGTCGGACGAATATGAGGTCTGAGATTGTCAGGTAAATTCTCAGATTTGCAAGTGGCACTGCTAGTCCGGGAAGATTCCTTTTGATGAACAGAACCATCATGCTTTCCAGAGGTGCTGTGGAAAATGCTTTACATGCATGTTTTCGACATTTGGCCATGGACACACAGGCACCCAGTTTCAGGACCCTCTGAGTGCCTGGCGCGCTGATAGACTCTATACAGGTGCTCTTCCACAAGCCCCTAGTCTCTACTCAGACACTCTATGTGTCACATACATTGGGGTGGCTTCACTAGTAGGCATTTATACATATATATATATGTTTATATATACTATAGAATGTTTGTGGTATGGTTGATCTGGGGCTGCATCGCTTTCATTTGGAATTGGGGCTTGCAGTGACCTTCACGGGCGCTGGAAAGGGATATAGAACCATCATAGCATTGGCTGAAATACTACAAGGCTGTGGTGGATGACGCAACTGGGTGGGATTAGCGCGGCCAATGTACTCCTCACTTCGTCACCCACTCACCCACCGGCCCTCCCCAACCCCAACCCACCGTCTCAAAATATGTGGGGCAAAGGGGCCCAGGATGGGACTCCTATCCTGACACACACACACACACACACGCATTTCTGCCTTTTAACATGCCTGAGGGCCGAAACTAGACATAAAGTCACAAATCATAATCCGAAAATATATAGGCAACATATATCATATGGATATTTATAGATGAAATATATTTAAGCTGGTTAATTCCATCCACGCCGATTTCTCTACAAATTGGTAGTGGTTGGGCATGTGTGTCTTTGTGCGATGTTCACTGCCTTACAAGAAGACTCATTGAGTGTATCCAGAACCCAGCAACCTCCTCTTCAGACCAACCGGCTACGTTGTTGGACTGCAGGATGCTGAAGCACTCTTACATCTGTCACCAGTACGTCAATGTGGTCCTTCATGGGAGTAGCCTATGCTGAAGCTAGGAAATCCTTTTTTGGATTGAAACATCCACACGGCGACTCATCAGAACGATTGTGGTACGACCCCAGTTGCGGAAAGAACGGTGATTGAGTTGGATCAGCTTTACATGCATGTTTGCGACATGTCCCATGCTGGCCCCCTTTGTCCACATTTTTTGGTGTTCGCGCTAATGCAAACCAGTTGCGTCTCCCACTTCAGTCTTGTTTTATCCCGTAGTATTTCAGCGAGTGCTATGATGACTCCATGCTCATTCTAGCCAACGTGAAGGTCACTGCAAGCCCCGACTCCACATGAAAGCGCTGCAGCCCAGATCAACCACACTGCAAGTATTGTATGGTATAAGCCTACTAGTGAAGCCACCCGATGTATGTGACATAGAGTGTCTGAGTAGAGACTAGGGGCTTGTGGAAGAGCACCTGTATAGAGTCTATCAGCGCGCCAAGCCCTCAGAGGTTCCTGAAACTGGGTGCCTGTGTGTCCATGAAATGACACACTGGTTGCCACTGCATGGATGTGAGTCAACACGGCGCAGTGGGTGGGCGATTGTACTTGGCGGGTATTGAGTTCTCATCAGACCCACGATCCAAGAAAGTAATGCGAGGGATGCGCCTTGAGAGCCATTGTTTTGTGCTTCTGGCAGCCGAACAAATTTGGAAGGGGTTTTTGTCGCTTCACATCCTTAAGACACCCGTAGCTGCAAAGACCCCATGGTACGGGGCAGCAAAAAAAACAATTGGAGGGCAGCCGAAAGCAACATATTGCGGTTTCCTTGGTTGCAAACATTAGGTCGTTTTTCCTGGATGTTTTTTAACGTTGAAAGGCACAATCGTTTGGCAACTGAAGGAACCACAATTTCGCAATTAAGGATGTGTTTTTTTTTTTTTTTCGCAATTAAAGGGCGCCCTCTGATGTTGGCACGGCCTTGGTCCTCTCCCTCGGCGTGATTGTCGCAGCCTGCACATCCAGGCGCGATGTGGTTGGTGATTTTGCGGCATTCTTTGGAGCTGAACATCCAGATCGACCAGCACGCAGAGGCCAGGGTCTCGGGTCGCTCGGCCGGCGCGGTGTCGCGACACGTGACCTAGACCCTGGGCCAGAGAGAACAAACACAAGATTTGCATTAAGGCAAAAATTTACCTGAGGTGGGTCAATGGAAGGCGCTATAGTTCTTCTGAAATCGTGGGAACCTAGTCGACATGGAGCTACACTTTTTGTCAGCGCTGAAGGAATGAATTGTGCCTATAGCAGTGCCTTTCGATAACTCTCGATGTGTCCTCGATGTTGTTTGTAGACCATTTTTGGGGGGGTTCATGCCGAGGCTGGCAAATGTAAAACTACATTTGGTGACTTCTTAGAGATCAATCCCTATAAGAGAGCCGTCATGTTATGTTGACATGGAAAAAACAACACAAAATGGAGAACCTCTGGCACCGCAAACACCTGGCAGAGTACGGCAAACATGTTGTTTTTTCCCCAGAAGGGTCCAGACATGTCGAGGAGTTTGCCAGAAAAGCTAGGGAGGTCTACGACCACAACGCGGCACCACATTCTGGGTGGATGCCACCGGTGGCATCCCCGGACCCGGGCTCCATTCAAAAACCACTCTGTTTCCGGGACGGCGGTGATGAAAGAGATTGAAGGAGGGTCCATCTCCACATGAAGAAGGAGAGCCCGAGTCAGAGATTCTCCTGAAAACACCTCTTCAGACCCCTTCAGACCTGCTCGGTCTTGCTGCTTGCTTCGAAGGTTTGTTTGTGTTTCGGATGAACTGTGATGGTCACCTGGTCAAACAAACCCTATGACGGTCACGTTCTGCTCGACTCAAAGAGCGACCAATTCTGGGCGACCGGAACTGTCCTGGACCACATGGTGTCAGCCCACGGTGTGCACAGTTCTTGTGCATACCACTCTTTTTTGGAGTGGTGTCTTGGTGTCAGCCCTCGTCACCGATGAAGAAAATGAACTCGTCGTCCTTCTTCCGGACATCGATCGACGACATGAAGAGGAACCGCCAACTTCAGTCTTCTCAGAAAGTATGGTTCATTGGAAGGAGCGTCTCTCGCCAACGGCGACCTACCCGCCGTAACCGCCGAACGGCGACCTTCTTCGCGTGTGGGGCTCATTGATTTGTATACAAATCAGTGACCACATCGGACGGACCAGAGAAAAACATACAGTAACACTTTCTTTGTTTGTGTCATTTGGCCTTCAATCGGTGCTCCGCTGTCCTGGTAACCGAAGATTCCCGAGCTAGCGCTTCTGTCCCACATCCGAAGGGAGGGACTTGGACAGACCCGACGACCAGCACCCACCCCACCCCATCCACCTTCAGTTGTGGGACAGGAGCCGAGGTTGGGGAGGGGTCTTTCTTGAAACAGCTCCAATGAGCACACACCGCGTCCAGAGCTGCTCGTGACCTTCCTTATAGGACCGGTCACTACCAGGGTACCGAACTGGGACAGTCAGATACTCAGATAGTCGAACTAGGGTTTCTTCAACCGCTGGGTGTGGAGAAAAA